CATAGGAGTGTACTGCATTTTATATATGACATTCATTTTCTGTCTCATATAGGCCTAGAGGCATGCTTCTCTTTTTGACGCATACTGTGCTTGCTGCATTGCATACATGTGATATTTTATATCTATAGTATAATGTTTTGATACTCCCTGCTTGGGATATAACCATTTTGGTAGTAGCATATGTCTACATATTTACAACATGTTACATGGTATACCTATGGTATAATTTTTGCATACACCTCCTGTGGGAAGTGTTCACCTGTGCGCTAGTGCTACAAAGACTTTAGACTCTAGTAGTCACTGTCTTTGTTGCACAAGTATTTGGACCGGTCTTGGTGTCATTTTATATGGTTTTAGGTCTGTGTGTATTGTCTCATACTGAGGTGATGGTAAACCAGGGCGATTGCCCAAATGTCAAACATGTATATGTAATAAAGCATAATTTTTGGAAATTTTTTCTGAGTATCACACTCTGTTCATAATGTAGCCACTTTCTCTGTGAATTTCTTTTCACAACCCTCCCCTTTTTTTTTGCATGTCTTTTTTGGCTACTGAATGGAGGCCATCTACTGGGTGATATGGTAATTTATTTTACAACCTCTAAATAACTATCTTTAACTAGAATCCAGGAGGCACTGAGGTTTCGGAACAGTATTAATCTGGTCATTGGGTCATGCCCAGACCAATCCCGGAGATTTCATCACCAACATGGAGGAATATTGTGCCTATTACGGGCCAGAGTGAGTCAAAGGGAGGACAGCCTAGAAGGGGTGAAGGAAGGTAGGGGTAGGTAGGGGGGATCAGGGGAGAAGGAAAAGGGGAAACGAGGAAGAGCACTAGCATAAGTTCAAATTGGCATGTAACCGGGTGATGACTTAGAACTCAGGGTCTGAGGCGGGGGTAGGAAAGAGGGGGTTAGGTGGGTCTAGGATGGGGTAGGTACCCCAACTTTGAAATAGGGAGAGCAAACGCAAGGGGTATTTCTGTATCGGAGACACAATCTATGAAAATACGTTTACATAGCAGTAAGTATTATATTTAAGAGCATGGGCAACCAAGATATAGGGAAATATGAGCGAGACTTAAGAGACTGCGCACAGCGAAAGAGAGAAGTGGGAGTAGGAGCGTCAGATTAAACTGAGTTGGTTCGTTATTTCCCTGAGCTCCATTTGTGAGGAGCATGGGGTCGAAGGGTAAGGAGAAGAGAGAAGAGAAAGGGTAGAGACAGAGAGGGGTTAAATGCCCATTCTCTGTAATCAGGTATGTAACATTACATTAAAAAAAAAACAAAGACCTAATGACTGGACAATATGCCTAAGCAACCAAAGTAAATACAGTTCCAATAATAGCTTACACTCCTCAATGGCAGCAGCGATACCGGCTGTGGCGGAGTCTTGTGAGCAAAGTCTGATGAGCTGATGGAGGAGAGCAAAAAATAAATAAATAATTTTTTTAATCGAAACAAGATAAGAAGCTCCTCATTTCACTTAGCCTCAGAAGAGAATGAAGTCTCATTAAGTCCCGAGGCAGGAACAGGAACAGGTTCTGCAGAATGTGCCCCGAACCGGAGTAGTCTCTTGGTTGGGTGCAAGTAGGATATCTAGACAGGTATGCAGGTACAAACCAGTGCAGGGCAAAGAGCGGATTAATGGTCTAAAGGCTAAGGAGGTGTGCACGTTGCAAGGCTAAGTGTAGCAGGCTCCAGGTGTCAAGCGCCTGTGGTAGTAAGCCCTTGTAGATCAGAATGGTGCAGCGCTATTTTTACACATACAAATAATTATAAAATTAGTGGATACAGTGGATTCTGAGGAAGTCACGAGGGTGTGACGTAACATGTAGATGCGGTGTGGTGACGCACTTCGGGTGAGCACCATCTTAGGACTCCAAAGTGCCTGCAGTACACCCATGTTTAGTGTTTTTAAGTGCCTGACATTTCTACTTAAATGTGAGTTGATTACCTGACGATTTTATTATATTCTACCATTAAATACAATATTGCACTATGGAGGATCTTTGTTTTGTCCTGATATGATTCCTACATGGTCTTTACGTATTGGTAAGCCTATGGTCACCTGCACATGGAAAAGGAGCTGGAAGGGAAGGAGAGACCAATAAAGGGCTGTGAAATCTAACCTACCTGGAGATTGTGGGCAGGATCCAGGGAGATCCAAAAAGTGTTTGGTCCCTTGTAGGGTCGCAGCAGGAAGGTGAGCGGGCATGATGGCCGTTTAGGATTTACACTCACCGCTTGCACTAACACTGGAGCACCCATATAAGGAGAAAATTATTGTGTTACTCTTACCATTAACTGGACCGCAGGTTTTTTTTTTTGCATCTTTTATTCACTCTCAGCAGTGCAGGAGGATCTACTATTATTTTTTAAGCCCTTGTAGATCGCCAACTTGGGGTTCCCCAGGAGATGGAGTCTAAGCCCCAGCCTGCTCCTTCACCACCCTGATGGTGGGGATGGACTTGCAGCAAGCTAGAACCAGGTTGCGGCCCCCAGGTACGTCCAGCTGAGGATGCGGAGAGACTGTACGCGTGAGTAGAGTACAATGACAGGAGACAACATGAAATCCAAAAGACAAGCCGAGGTCAGGATGGGTGGAAATCAAGCACAGTCGGTGAACGAAGCCGGGGGTCGGTACACAGGTAGTGTCAGGGCTCCAGGGTATGACCAGAGGTATGTGAGCTGACGCAGGGAAACGCAGGCTTCAGATATGTTATAAACAATATAATTTATTAACACTAACAATACATAAACGCAGTGCAATACTAAAACATAACACAGTGCATACGAACCAAACCAAACCACCCACAGATAATACATACAATGCAAAACGTCGTCAGGCAGGCCGGGTCAATAACAATCGGGCAGGTAGGAACAGGAGGAGCAGGCAGAGAGTAGTCAGGTCACGAGCCGGGTACAGCAACTAACGGGCAGGTAGGTACAGGGGGTCAGGCAGAGAATGGTCGGGGTCACAAGCCAGGGATACAACATGAGAAGTCAGCAGAGGTCCGGATCAGGCAGGGTCAGCAACGAATCAGTCGGACAGGAACAGGAACAGGTAACAAGATACAGGGCCCATAGCAAAACACACACCAAGGCAGAGACTGCAGGTCTGGCCATCCCTTAAATACACCTGCATAATCAACTTCAGGTGTTTGGCTGGCTGCAGGGTTGAGTCTCTGATTGCTGGGAGCACCCGCTGGCCAGCCCTGGTACTGCAGCCCACAAGGCAGGTGAGTCCCACCATTACTGGCAAGTCCATTCCTGACAGTACCCCCCCTCAAGGAGCGTCCTCAGGACGCTCCAAACAGTCCTTGCTGGGCAAAATGTTCCACCGCCCCGGGTCTGGTTCTGTACTGGCGGGATATCAAAGACTGGCACATCGGGCAGGACTCCGGGCAGAGGCACACCGGGCAGGACTCCGGGCAGCGGCACACCGGGCAGAGGCACATCGAGCAGGACTCCGGGCAGCGGCACACCGGGCAGGACTCCAGGGCAGCGGCACATCGGGCAGGACTCCGGGCAGCGGCACATCGGGCAGGACTCCGGGCAGCGGCACATCGGGCAGAGGCACATCGAGCTGGACTCCGGGCAGAGGCACATCGGGCTGGACTCCGGGCAGAGGCACATCGGGCTGGACTCCGGGCAGAGGCACATCGGGCTGGACTCCGGGCAGAGGCACATCGGGCTGGACTCCGGGCAGAGGCACATCGGGCTGGACTCCATGCAGAGGCACACTGGGCAGGACTCCGGGCAGAGGCACACCGGGCAGGACTCCGGGCAGCGGCACATCGGGCAGAGGCACATCGAGCTGGACTCCTGGCAGAGGCACATCGGGCTGGACTCCTGGCAGCGGCACATCGGGCTGGACTCCAGGCAGAAGCACATCGGGCAGGACTCCGGGCAGAGGCACATCGGGCAGGACTCCGGGCAGAGGCACATCGGGCAGGACTCCCGGCAGAGAGCACATCGGGCAGGACTCCGGGCAGAGGCACATCGGGCAGGACTCCGGGCAGCGGCACATCCTGACAGTACCCCCCCCTCAAGGAGCGGCCTCAGGACGCTCCAAACAGTCCTAGCTGGCAAAATGTTCCACCGCCCGGGTCTGGTAACTGGCAGGATATCAAAGACTGGCACATCGGGTGGACTCCGGGCAGCGGCACACCGGGCAGGACTCCGGGCAGCGGTACACCCGGGCAGGACTCCGGGCAGCGGCACACCGGGCAGAGGCACATCGAGCAGGACTCCGGGCAGCGGCACACCGGCAGGACTCCGGCACACATCGGGCAGGACTCCGGGCAGCGGCACATCGAGGCACATCGGGCAGGACTCCGGGCAGAGGCACATCGGGCAGGACTCCGGGCAGAGGCACATCGGGCAGGACTCCGGCAGAGGCACATCGAGCTGGACTCCGGGCAGAGGCACATCGAGCTGGACGCCGGATCACCAGGCGGAGCGGCAGGCACCGGGCCACCAGGTGGAGCAGCAGGCAACGGGCCACCAGGCGGAGCAGCAGGCCCCGGGCCACCAGGCGGGGCAGCAGGCATCGGGCCCCCAGGAGGGGCGATGGGCATCGGGCCCCCAGGAGGGGCGACGGGCATCGGGCCCCCAGGCGGGGCGACGGGCGCCGGGCCCCCAGGCGGGGCGGCCGGGCGCCGGGCATCGGGCCTCCAGGCGGGGCGACGGGCATCGGGCCCCCAGGCGGGGATGGGCATCGGGCCCCCAGGCGGGGCGGCGGGCGCCGGGCCCCCCAGGTGGAGTGGTGAGCGCCGGGCCCCCAGGCGGAGCGGCGGGCACCGGGTCATCTGGCGTTGGATCGTCTGGCTCGACAGCGGGGCATCGGGTCACCAGGCATGACAGCGGGCACTGGGTCACCAGGCATCAGGTCATTTGGCTCGCCAGCGGGCACCGCGTCATCTGGCAAGGCAGTGGGCACCGAGTCACCAGGCACGACAGTGGGCACCGAGTCAACTGGCATGACTGCGGGCACTGGGTCAGACATTGGATCGTCTGGCCCGACAGCGGGCATCGGGTCACCAGGCATGACAGCGGGCACTGGGTCATCAGGCATGGGATTGTCTGGCTCGACAGCGGGCACTGGGTCACCAGGCATCAGGTCATTTGGCTCGCCAGTGGGCACCGCGTCATCTGGCAAGGCAGTGGGCACCGAGTCACCAGGTACGACAGTGGGCTCCGAGTCAACTGACATGACCGCGGGCACTGGGTCAGACATTGGATCGTCTGGCCCGAGAGCGGGCATCGGGTCACCAGGCATGACAGCGGGCACTGGGTCATCAGGCATTGGATCGTCTGGTTCACAGCGGGCATCGGGTCACCAGGCATGACAGCGGGTACTGGGTCATCAGGTACCGGATCGTCTGGATCGACAGCGGGCATCGAGTCAACTGGCCTAATGGAATCATCAGGCTGGATCAGTTCATCAGGCTGGGTAGAAACATCATGCTGGGTAGAGGCATCAGGCTGAATGGGAGGCATCAGGCTGAATGGAGGCATCAGGCTGAATGGGTAGAGGCATCAGGCTGGGTAGAGGCATCAGGCTGGGTAGAGGTATCAGGCTGAAGTGCGGGTGCCGAGGCACCAGGCTGAACCACGGAAGGCAGGTTCTCAGACGGCAGGCTCACCGGTTTGGATACTGGCAGGATGGTACTGGTTGGAAAGAATTTTCGCTTTTTTTCTGGTTTTAACTACTGGAGCACTGCAAGTAAACGCAGGTCTGCAAACAAATGGAGCAGCTGAGGACAGAGAAGAGCTTGAAGATGGAGCAGAGGAGGGAGCAGTTGCTACAGAGGACTTCTTTACAGGGTTAAAGAAAGGATAGGTGCAGCGAGTGGGAACAGAGGACTGGTTATGTGGTAGTTAGAGTATACTGGGCAGTCACTGGGGGTGCTGTCGGGGATGCAGGAAGAGTGCCTTGAGCAGAGGAATGACGTTGCAAGCTGACTGAGGCTGGGTGCAACAAGTCTGACCATGTCTGCAGTATGGGTTGAACAAAGCTGAGCTTACACAAAGCCTGTCTGGTCAAAGACTGCACTGCGTTTATACAATCTCTTAGTACCTGTGGTGAACATGCAGAATAACGCTCCAGAAAGTAATCCACATCATCCTCTAATAACCATACCAGGGATTCTACCTGGTCGGCACTAAATGGGGGCAAAAATTCATCCCTGCATTCGGGGGGTACCAGATGAAACCAACTCAGCACAAACCTGAATCAATGGCTGCACCTCAGAGAACTCTGTGCCCTGATCTACTAGGCAATGAGCGATCCGTATACATTCTAACAGTTCATCCCTGGGATACTCCTTCAGAGTTTGATAAGCATACTCTGTCATCAAACACTAGCAGAGATAAATACACAACCTCATCAAGATCCATCCTTCCCAGCAACAAGCCAAGATGGCTTCCCTGTGCAGCCACTTCTGGTCAGGATTGGCCTTGGTGTAATGTCAGAGCTCCAGGGTATGACCAGAGGTATGTGAGCTGACGCAGGGAAACGCAGGCTTCAGATATGTTATAAACAATATAATTTATTAACACTAACAATACATAAACGCAGTGCAATACTAAAACATAACACAGTGCAAACGAACCAAACCAAACCACCCACAGATAATACATACAATGCAAGCGTCGTCAGGCAGGCCGGGTCAATAACAATCGGGCAGGTAGGAACAGGAGGAGCAGGCAGAGAGTAGTCAGGTCACGAGCCGGGTACAGCAACTAACGGGCAGGTAGGTACAGGGGGTCAGGCAGAGAATGGTCGGGGTCACAAGCCAGGGATACAACAGGAGAAGTCAGCAGAGGTCCGGACAGGAACAGGAACAGGTAACAAGATACAGGGCCCATAGCAAAACACACACCAAGGCAGAGACTGCAGGTCTGGCCATCCCTTAAATACACCTGCATAATCAACTTCAGGTGTTTGGCTGGCGGCAGGGTTGAGTCTCTGATTGCTGGGAGCACCCGCTGGCAAGCCCTGGTACTGCAGCCCACAAGGCAGGTGAGTCCCACCATTACTGGCAAGTCCATTCCTGACAGGTAGTCAGATACAGGAGTATAAACAAACAGGAGCTCAAAGAACTAAGAAGTTGCTCAGGCAAAGTGGGCTAGACTGAGCATGTCTTATATAGACAAGCAAACTAGGAGGTGGGCCAGGTAGTGATGGAAGGGAAGGAAATAAAACCCAGAGAATAGCACGTGATGCCCATAGGTGACCACAGACAAATCACACATGTGAAGGGAATCAGGAAAAGCACTGCAGCAAGGAGGTAAGAATGCACAAACAAGAAACTGCAGGCTAACTTGCGACAGTACCCCCCCCCCCCCCCCTCTTACGAGGTCTCCCTATTTGCTTAGGACCAGGTTTAAGAGGAAACGTCTGATGAAAAAGTTCCACCAGACGGGGTGCAGAAACATCAGTAGAAGGAATCGAACACCTTTCCTCAGGACCATATTCCTTCCAGTCAATTAGATACAAAAGCCTCCCCCTGATGAATTTGGAATCCAAGATTTGCTTGACTTCATACTGATCCTTGGTACTCACTATTGGGGAAGGATGATGATGAGGATGGGAAAGCCTGTTGATGTACAATCTCAGAAGAGAAACATGGAAAACATTAGGGATTCTCAGATGTGAAGGGAGGCAAAGTTTGAAAGCAACAGGATTGACCTGGTGGAGGATGGTAAATGGACCAATGAAATGAGAAGCAAATTTCATAGAGGGTACTCGTAGATGGATATTCTTGGTAGAGAGCCAAAGCTTGCCACCAGGGAGAAATTTGGGGCACACATGGCGATGACGATCTGCAACTACTTTGTACTTGAAAGCTGCCAGATGTAAATTCTTCTAAACCTTTGCACAGATAGAATTGAATTGTCATTGAGTTTCTGCAGCCATGGGCACCGCGGTAGAGATGGGAATGGGAAATGACACATAAGGATGATGACCATACATAGTGAAAAAGGGAGACTCACCAGTACTGGCACTGGCATGGTTATTAAGGACAAACTCTGCCCAGGGTAGAAAGTCTACCCAATTATCCTGATGGGCTGAAATGAAGGCATGAATATACCATTCAACATTCTGGTTGACCCTTTCAGTTTGGCCATTAGACTATGGATGTGGCCAGAGCCCTCCAGAATCGAGCTGTAAATTGAACACCTCTATCAGAGATGATGTGTGAGGGAATACCATGAAGACGGAAGATTTCCTTAATGAAGTTGGAAGCCAACGTGACAGTAGAAGGTAACCCTGGAAGTGGAGTTAGATGACACTGTGACGGTTGTGCGACGTCAGACCCCAGCCCTTCTCACCGAAGGACCAGCCAATCTCAGACCGCGCTGTCACTTGCGTAACAATGCCACTCTCAGCTGCACCCTGCACAAAGATTTTACAGCTCGCAGCACCACAATCTATGTGCCAGCAGCCTGAGAGCGATTGTCACTGGGTCAGGTTAATTACGCAATTAACCCTTCACACTGCCACCACCTCCTTTTTACAGAGAAGGAGGAACTCACAAATCTTCGCAGTAACACTATGATATTAATATAAGCATCTGTAATACACCCTGTCACCACAGACAGATGTATTCAGAGGATTATCACATACAGTAGCACTCTTCAGAGACAGGGATTCTTTAGTTTGCATTAAAAGCTTTAGAGACAGTTAAACCCTTTTCAGAAAATAGGATTTATTACTAAAAAGGTCAAAATGGTGCAATTAAAATATTTACAGAAAAAGATGTAACATATATATATATATAAAGAGAGTAATAAAACAACAGAGAAATAAAAGAAATAAAAAAGTTTTCAGAAGGCAGAATACTTGCAAAAGTCCTTGGTTTGGGCAGAGTCCAATCGTTCGAGCCTTTGCTCTCAAGATTGTTCCTGATTGATGTAAAAGGGAGAGCTAGCTTTTCTCCAGGCTGTCAGTCTTTTTCTATTATCTCAAAGGGGTGTCTCCTCAGAACAAATAGCCAATCACCCCATTTGGGGATGGGTGTTAGGCGATGACCAAGGTTAGGACCAAATCCCTTCCAAGTTCATACTACAGTCAATAACCTTCAATAGGTACAGGTAGCATCCTAGCAACTGGCAGATTAATATTTAGAATTATATTCCACTCGCACAGATACCAAAGTTTAGCATATCCTGCCACTCCAGATAAAAGATATTACTTTCTACCCTCTTGTAGGCTCTACATAGGGATGTAAGGTGTCATGTGACTCATATTAAAATTACGTATCCGAATATATACTTCATATCAATGTGCCCAGTTCCTGCTGAGGTTTATGAATTTGTATGAAAATGACTCATGTGGAATGTACGTTTTATGGTCATGACCGACGGAGTTATGGTTTTACGACTGGGCAGAGGAAAGTGGTTTTTCCAGTAGACCTTCTGGAACCAGAGTAATTAGGGATTTACAGCGCTGGAGTTCACCCAGCTGTGCTTAAATACTTACAGATATGCACTTTTGACCGCCGTTCACTTACAGACTCACATTCCATTCAAAAGGGAGGGGGGAGAATCAGGAAACAAAATGGCTGCCAGTGTCCAGTGTCCAGGTCTCTATTCGCACAATTGCCACAGACACATTTTAGAAAACCTGTCCACAACCACCCAGATAATGGTGGAACCTGCTGAAGGGGGTAGTTCAGAAATAAAGTTAATGAAAATGCAACACCAAGGTTCATCTAGAAAAGGTAGAGGTAAAAGAAGACCTGCTGGAGTAGACATGTAGGACTTAGACTGCACACAAATAGAGCAAGCCTGAACATTTTCTTCAATATCCCTCCATAGTGAGGGCCACCAGTAATGACACTGCAGGAAGGCACAGGTGCATTTCACACCAGGATGTCCAGAGAGTGTAGAGTCATGTGCCTATTTTTGTAGCTTGGAGCGAAGAGCAGGGACCACAAACATATTTCTGGGTGGGATGTGTTTAGACTGAATATGAGTGGCAGCCAGGATACGATTGGCAGAAATGATAGGTTCCAGTTCAACACAATACTCAGAGTCAGCAACGTTAAATGATCTGGACACGTCATCTGCACAGGCATTTTTGGAACCAGGCCGGAAGGTAATGTGAAAGTTAAATCTGGCAAAGAAGAGAGCCCATCGCACTTGTCTGGGATTCAAATGCCTGGCAGGTTGCAAATACTGGAGGTTCTTATGATCAGTATAAATCAGGATACGATGTGGAGATCCCTCCAGCAGGTGTCACCATTCTTGCAGTGCCAGCTTTATAGCCAGCAGTTCCCGATCCCTGATGGTGTAATTCCTTTCAGTATCCAAAAACGTCTTAGAGAAGAAGGCACAAGGACAGAGTTGACCATCATGTATTTGGAGAAGGATGGCCCCCCACTCCCAAAGATGAAGCAACTACCTCCAAGAAGAAAGGCTGGAAAATGCCCGGATGTACGAGAATAGATGCAGAGAGAAGGTGGATTTTAGTTTGTGGAATGCATCGACTGCCTCAGGAGGCCAGGTTCTGGCGTTAGAACCCTTCCGGGTCAAAGAAGTGATTGGGGCCACCAACGAGGAATAGTCAGGAATAAACTGGCGGTAGAGGTTGGTGAATCCCAAGAAGCGCTGCGTGGCTTTCAAATGGGATGAGGCCAGTTGGAGATGGCTTGGAGTTTGGCAGGATCCATACGCAGCCCCTTATCCATGACTATGTACCAAGAAAAGGAACCTGGGTTTACTCAAAGAGGCACTTCTCCAACTTTGCATACAGGCAGTGGTCCCGAAGACGTACAAGGACGGTACATACAGTATGTGCTAACGATAGGTGTTTAAATCTGGAGAAAAAATGAGTATGTCATCCAGATAGACAATGACACAAACATATAGGAGATCAGAAATGTCATTAACAAGGTTCTGAAAGACTGCTGGGGCATTACACAAGCCAAAGGGCATTACAAGATATTCATAATGCCCGTCTCTGGTATTGAAAGCTGTTTTCCACACATCACCCTCATGGATCCTAACCAGGTTGTATGCTCCCCAGAGGTCCTGCTTTGTGAAAATTCGAGCATCCTGGAGCCTGTCAAAGAGTTCGGAAATCAAAGGTAATGGGTATCGATTCTGAACGGTGATAGCATTGAGACCTCTATAATCAATGCAGGGCCGGAGCGTACCATCTTTTTTCTCCACAAAGAAGAAGCCAGCCCCAGCAGGAGAATTGGACTTATGGATAAATCCTTTCTGCAGATTTTCCTGGATGCACTCAGACATGGCTTGAGCCTCAGGAATGGAGAGAGGGTAGACTTTATCTCGAGGTGGAGATGTCCCAGGTTGGAGGTCAATAGCACAATCGTAGGGAGGGTGAGGAGGCAAACAGTCAGCAGCTTTCTTACAAAAGATGTCTTGGAAGGCCTGATAATGCTGAGGGAGCATCAGAGAGGTTGGAGCACGTTAGAGAGAAAAGTCCAATGGCATTGTGACCCCCCATGACAATACTTGCCAGAGTTCCAGTCTATATAGGGTGAGTGTTTCTGCACCGTACAGGTCCTAAGGCCAAGGTAAAGCCATCGACTACAGATACAGATAGGGGCGTCATCAAGGGGACAGGAGGGATGCCTGATTCAGTGGCCAATGATTGTTCGATGAAGTTCTCGGCTTCCCCAGAGTCCACATAAGCAGAAACCTGATATGAGTTTAGGGCCCAATGAATGGAGACAGGTATGATAAATCGATGGAAGGTGGCGGAATTCAGGTTCTGGTCTAGATCACTTCCCTCAGAGTGACCTAGACCCGAGAGTTTCCCGGACGGACAGAACAGGACTTAATTATATGACCTTCAGCCCCACAGTAAAGGCATAGGCCAAGTCTTAGGCAGCGCGATCGCTCTTGTGGAGTGAGGCATGTTCGGCCTAACTGCATAGGCTCTTCAGATGCCAGTACGGTTGCAGATGTAGGTCGATTAGGGGATTCCTTGAAAACAGGAGCTAACGAACCCACTGGGGGATGACGTGGACGAGCCCTTTCCAGAATTCTCGCTTGAAGCGAACATCGATTTGGATGCTAAGAGCAATCAAGTCATCCAGGGTGGTGGGTGTGGTTCTTCCAGCTAGTTCATCCTTAATATGGTCTGCCAAAAGGTTGCAGAAAGGGCCTCATTATTCCATGCCAGTTCCAAAGCTAAGGTACGAAACTGAACTGCATATTGACCAACAGTCATGCTACCTTGACAAAGCTGAAGAAGAGCTCCCGCAGCAGATGAAGTCCTGCTGGGCACATTGAAGGTTTTACGGAAAGCCTGCTGGAAGGCTGGGATACTGTAAATAGTAGGATCTTCACGCTCCCACAGTGGCAAGGCCCAAGCCAGCGCTTCACCGGAAAGGAGGGAGATCATGTACGCCACCTTGTGATCACCAGAGAAGCAAGGCGGTGGAGGCAGATGGAGTTTCGAATGACTGTGTTCCACTGGAGGAACAGTGGGGGTTGGAGCAGCAGGAACCCGAACAGGAGCCAAAACAGAGGGAGAGGAAGTGGACACAACCTGCAGCTGATCCAGCTGGGAGGAAAGTTCCAGCAGACACTGCATAATTCATTCTTGATAGGCCTGCTGGACATCGACTCTCGGTGCCAAATACTGAAGTTGTTCCAGGAGAGGCTGCGGTGTCTCCGAAGAGCTCATGGTCTGAGCAAACTGTGAAGCGCCTGTGGTAGTGAGCCCTTGTAGATTGCCAACTTGGGGTTCCAGAGGGCACAGAATCTAAGTCCCATCCAGCTTCTTCACCAGAGCCCCTGATGGTGGGGTAGGACTTGCAGTAAGCTAGAACCAGTTCACGGCCCCCAGGTACACCCAGCTGAGGATGCGGGGACCACGAGCGTGAGCAGAGTATGATGGCAGGAGACAAAAGGGAAGCCAATCGACAAGCCGAGGTCAGGACGGGCGGAAAACAAGCACAGTCAGTGAACAAAGTTGGGGTCGGTACACAGATAGTCAGATACAGGATATAGGAGTAGCAACAAACAGGAGCTCAGAGAACTAAGAAGTTGCTCAAAATGGGCTAGGCTGAGCATGTCTTATATAGACAATCAAACTAGAAGGTGGGCCAGGAAGTGATGGAAGGGAAGGAAATAAAACCCAGAGAATAGCAGGCGACGCCCATAGGAGAGCACAGACAAACCACACATGTGAAGGGAATCAGGAAAAGCACTGCAGCAAGGAGGTAAGAATACACAAACACGAAACTGCAGGCTAACTTGTGACACCAGATGTCGACTACTTGCAACCTGAACAGTCTCCGTGGTGGGAGAAGGAAAGGTGGTAGCACATTTAATCACTATGTCTGGCTCTCCTATGAGCTGGGGAAGCTGTTGGGCTGGTGTTGTTCGAGATCCTGCGGGAGTTTGCCAATGGGGAGTAGAAGGGCAGCGAGCGTCGGCTGCGGGGTCATGGAGGAGGTTCAGGCCATTCCTGAGGGGTATTACGATCTGGCGCATGAGTTAGTGAGGACGCAGCCTGACAGGCTGGAGATGGCCTGTGGATGAGTCCGGACCGGGAAGAAGAACCGCTGCGGTTGTATTTCCCCATGTCAGCTGTATTGCTCCTCCAATAAGGCTGATTGTGGGTCTCTGGAGGTGGGAGCTCTGTGATTGAGCGACCATTGGGATTGAGGTCAAGCCACGCCCCCCCGGCTTTTCTATTTATAATAGGCAGAGGATGATAGGGATTACTGCCCAAAAAAAAACACCCCAATTCAGTGACATCTCCAACAATCAGTGCTTTTCTGCTGAGAATATTTTGAGTTTATAATGACATTGTGGCATAGTTTTTAAATGGTTTTAATTCTGAAAACAATGTATGTTGCAACTGTGTACCCATATACAAAAACTTGGAGCACTGTTCAAAGCACTACACAGCCTCTCCCTGCTTCCAAAGCACAGATTTGGTGCCAGCATTCAAACAAGCTCATCCAAGCTAGAAGACGCTAATCATGAAACAGAAGGTGGAAGTGTTGCACACCGAAAGCCAGCCACTGTACAGAAGTTGTGCAGCACTTCCACCTTCTGTCTTCCAATGTGCTTCTGTGTACTTGCAAGCTAATCCACAGCAGTAACACATATTGATTGACAACATGTGATCCACAAATTTAACTTCAACATGACATCTGATCACTATATGCAACTCAAATAGAGTTTATATTAAATTAAAGAAAATGAGAGCACACTCTAATATGCATCGCTGAAAGGGTGAGATTTAAATGTGCAATTCATAACACTGTGTAGCAGTACCTCTATTTAGTCACGTATCTCTGAAGTAAAGCAATGATGGTGAATGAGGCATCATACCGCTGAGCAAATGTATTTATTTCTGAATGTATTTATTGTATGCTTGGAACTATATTGCTATGTGGTGCGCTGCGTCGCAGTATAGGGTGAGATGTACCCCGATTACACGTATCATGTTGTTTTTGATGCTTCTGTAATAAAAGTATCTTTTCAATCAAAAATGATGGTGAATGAGTGTAGACTGTGAAAGGCCCCCTCCTACCCTTTTTTGCATTGTTGTGTGTCCTTTGTTTCTCCTCATGGCATTCAGATGGTGTTGTGTATCTAAACCCAGAACAAAAATAAAAAAAATAAAAAAATAAAAAGCACTATAAACTGTGCTTTTCAGTCCTTAGATGTTGTTGCTCCATTTGTTTTCTTTTTCAGGCTAAGAACATTTTATATGAGTGCCGAAAATAACTGATCTTACCTGAAATGCAGCGCCCATGTCACTTCCTCTGATATGAACTCCAAGCAAAAACAATATTATCTTTCTTTTGTAAACTACTAATCCCATTAACTATCTTGTAAAGGAGATGAACAAAGGCAGACATATTTGAAGTCCAGCCTGTGTGAAGACTCTGGCTGCTTCTATAGCTATGGGGAGGTACAAAATAGCCATCCAGGAACAAGAGGCGTGTTATTTGCAGGATTAGCAGGTAAAAAATAAGGAAAAAGAGTCTACAAAAAAAAAAAAACTACTGAAGGCATCTCACCTACAGATTGGAAAGCAGCAATATATTACATTTTTGGGTTTGGTTTAAATATGCTTAAAATGTGATGGTCTGGCAACCCCTCTAGTCACATATTAATACTAAATATACAAAAACTTACATTAGAATCTAACAGACCAGCAGAGCATTTCTCTGGGAATCATTACAGCTCATTTAATTTTGTTTATATGTACTTTGTTTTATAGAAAAAAAAAACATTTTTGGCTAGAATTGGGCTTGAAAACAGGCATATAATTCAGAGAGAAAAGGTGACATACACTGGTTGAAGTTTGGGTAAATTTCAGTCATGTGTGGCTGTCTCCATTTGACAGTTGTCGATCATTCTTTAAAAAATTTTCTTGAAGGGATATGTTGGAATTTTTTTCTTAATCAGTGGCTGCTGCCAAATCTGCAGTGTATTCTGACAGATGCAGTTGCCATTGTCAAAATACACTGTTCTCCATTTACTCCATTGTCAGAATACAATTTACGCCATTCACTTTGTGTGGAAGGAGCAATCTGTAAGTTGTTTTTGCTAGTATATGGCCAGATTAAGGCTTTAGGAGAGAAATGTCTCTTTGCTTCCAGTTCTACCTGAAAAGAAGTCAGGGGATCTCCCAGGGTGGGATTTCTATGGGGTGCTTGGATGTGCTATAGCACCCCAAAAAGTATTGCTACCACCCCCATAGTACCTTCATCTCTGTGACTTCAGAGACCACCTGCTGCCTGCAAAACACATTACAAAGCACAAGCTCGTGCTGCTCCAAACCTGCCCAGCAGTATCCTGGGCTGGCAGTGGCCATGTGGATTCCCAGGTGAGGTGGAGGAGCAGAGGTGACCAAAGGAAGGAAGGGGGAGAACATGGGTGACCAATGGAAGGAGGGAGAAAACATAGGTGACTAGTGAAAATGAGGGGGGAGAGCAGAGGTGACCAGTGGACGTGATTGGGGAGAGCAAATGTGCGTGGGGGGAGAAAGGGTGTGAAAAAGTGACCAGTGGATGGAGGGGGTGCAGAGATGACAAGTGCTTGGAAGTGGGTACAGAGGTGACAAGTTAATGGAGTTGGGGGAGAGAGGTAACCAGTGAATTAATGGGATTCAGAGGTCACCTTTGACTGGAAGTAGGGGGTAGAGCAGAGGTGACCAGTGAAAGGTTGGAGGGGGTGCAGAGTTGACCCGTGGATGAAAAGGTGTGCATAAGGGACCAGTGGATGGAGGGAGGTCCACTGGCCACCAGTATGCAAACGGACACTCCGACAACCAGTGTATAGGAGGCACACTGACCACCAGTATGCAGGGTGAACAGTGATTGCCAGTATACAGGGTGCACACTGGCCACCTATGTAAGGGGGCACACTGAGAAAGTAATGTTGTACACAGTCCTGACACCCACACTTTATTTCTTATTTAGTGCTGATCTCCTCACTCCTCACTTTGTTGTGAATCATGTTCTATGTTTCAAAATGAAGGAGCCACAATGACATCTACACTCCTGGGGGTTAATTATTATGTGATGTTGGGTGTTAATTACTGTGCAATAGTGGTGGTTTATTAGTGTACCATGCTGGGGGTTTATTATTGTGCCATGCTGGTGGTAATTATTGTGCTGTACTGGGGATTCATTTTTGTGCTGAGCTTGAAGTTATTTTACTGTGCTGTGAAAGGAATAATTATCATGGAATGTTGGGGATTTATTATTATGCCAGGCTGGGGTTTAATTGTTGTTGTGCTAAGGAGTTAATTATTGGGCCATTCTGGGTGTTTTTTTGCATTATTTATTTATAATTTTTCCAGTACATAAACAAACACCGGAAAAAGAACAAGAAAAATGCCAGAAAAGATTGTACGAATAAACCAATCCATATATGACAGGTAATGGTTAACATAGGGAAATTATAGGGTGATTATAAAGATAGATGGAAGGACAGATGTATGTAAGTTATGGTATTAAAGCAGTTAGAGTGGGCAAAGGGGGTCCAGATGACTGTCTGCATGACAGGTGACATTGTACACCCAATGAGTATCTTGTTTTACGGTTGCTAAAACATGCCCATACACTGTTTAAACAGGGCACATATTCACAGAGGGTCATGAAGAGATAAATAAGTAGAAAAAAAGGAGGTGGGGTGGAGGGGGTGCAACTAACCCGGGTATACAATGGCAAAGCCCAGAGGAGAGGCTCAGCTGTAAACACTATGGGAATATTAAAAAAAGGGCTTACAGACCCTAGTGGCCTACCCTGAGCATAGCCATGACATCAACCCGGTTAGACTGCTAATAATCATTTAAATGCATCTGTACAAGTAAACACAGTTCAGTAGAATTTGGTGTGTGTGTTTTTATTGAGACATTCCATCCTTGTTGGTAATTTTTGTGCCATGCTGAGGATTATTTATTGTGCAGTGCTGAGGTTATTTATTGTGACATGTCTTGAGATTTATTGCTGGCCCTGACATATGCTGGGGGTTATCATTGCTGCCCCCAATTGGGCTTATTTTATTCCAAAAATCTCTCCAGAGTACTGAAAGGTTCCATTTTGTTTATACAGCAGACAACAAGCCTTGAACTATACCCATAAAGGCTGTAAAAGCAATCATTTCTCCTTCTCTCTGGCTGCATTTTTGCAGCCATTGAGAAATACTGTGTGAGCTGTGATTGGTCACAGCTTGTCACATGGTACAAGGCTGTTGTGAATAGCCTTATACCATGTGACCTCTGTGATCATTCACAGATTTCACAAGTAGTAAGCAATGATGGCAGAAGTGACATCTTGCTTACTACTCTGAATGTGATCACATGATCGGGACCTCACACAGCGGACACAGCAGGCACTGGATCGCGGTGCTGCGCGCTCCCAGGGAGCGCGCACAAGCAGGGGCGTGGAGGCCATTTATAATGGCCACCTGCCCCTGCACTGCCATTCTCCAGCCATTTATATACAACGGCCGGACAGGAAGTGGTTAATTCCTCTTTGATGTAATTTATTAATGGGATATAATTTGCTTTACATAGGTTCTTTAAGGATGCGGTTAATTTTATTCCCAGGTATTTTAATTATCTTTTCTTCCATACAAAGGGAAATTATTTTGTAAAACTTTCTGCTCAATTTTAATAATTCAAATCTCAGTTTTAGTTGTAATAATTTTTAAGTTTGACAACTCTCCATAAACTTTCATTATTTTCATTAAGTTGGGCAGTGTCAACGGGGATTTACCACATAGAATAGAATGTCATCAGCATACACTGCT